AATGCCTCAAGTGACCACTGGATTTATAGTTTTCCAGAAAGTTGCCTGCTCATAGAGTCATTTTCATATTATGATTTGAAGGCATTAAATTGTTTTAGTGTTTGGAGAAAGAAGATTCTCAGCCTGGCATTGAGCACTCCAGTTGGTAAAATTAAAGGCAGTGATTCATTCTCCATTTTTACTTCTCTCTAGCCCTCGTCTTGTCAGATGTTTAAGCGTTTTAAACCCCTCCCCCCCTTTTTTACAGTTTATTTGAAAGAGACAGTGCAAGCAGGGTAGGGGCAGAGAGAGAGAAGGGAGAGAGAGAATCCCAAGCAGGGTCTTCAGAGCAGAGCTTGATGTTGGCCTTTAACTCATGAACCATGAGATCATGACCTGAGCAGAAACCTAGAGCTGGAGGCTTAACCGACTGAGCCATCCAGGCGCACCAACGTTTTAACCCCTTAATCATGACACTAAAATGCCTTTTGCTCACAGTCGTCAATGGCAATAATATATGGCAATATTTATTTATTTAGAACATGGTTCTCACTATGTGATCCGTGGATCCTTGCAGGAGTCTGCAAGGTTAAAATAATTTTCATAATACTTAGATATTATTTACCTTTGTCACTGTGTTGACATCTGTACAGATGGTGTGAAAACAATATTTGGTCAGACTCCTGTGTTCCTTAGTATGAAACAAGGCAGTATTCATTGTTAAGAACTAACAGTAAACACACACACAGAGAAAACCATATTTCACTAAAGGACATTCTTGATGAAACAGTAAAAATTGTTTTCACTAAATTTTACCTTTAAGTTCAGATTTTTAATGCTATGTGTGATGAAATAGGAGGTATACATAGGGTATTTATGTCATTGAGTTGCCCATTGAACTAGCAGCTTTTTCATAGAACATCATTTTTACTTGAAACAGTAGCTAACTTGGGTATATGGCAGATATGTCTTTGAAGTTATATACTTCATTTACATTTACTTTCTTACCATTTTTGGTTTTCTTCATTTGTTCTTACGAGTTGATGTTACCATCTTGGTGTCATTTCTTCTCTTTAATAAAGTTTTGTTTGCACCACTTCCTTTGTGCTATTATTGTCAAATATATTACATTTTCTATATGTTATAGACCTAACAATACAGTTATACACACATATTGTTTCATATACCTGAGGTAGAAGAAATATGCATTTATAGTGTCTTTTATAATTGGTTAATTACCTTTACAAGCGTTCTTGGTTGTTGTAATTACAGTGGCTGATGTAAAGTATGCTCATGTGTTAACGTCTCTTTCCACAGTGAACATATGATGGGCTCATACATACAATGAAACATAGGAGGGGCGCCTGGGTGGCGCAGTCGGTTGGGCGTCCGACTTCAGCCAGGTCACGATCTCGCGGTCCGTGAGTTTGAGCCCCGCGTCGGGCTCTGGGCTGATGGCTCAGAGCCTGGAGCCTGTTTCCGATTCTGTGTCTCCCTCTCTCTGCCCCTCCCCCGTTCATGCTCTGTCTCTCTCTGTCCCAAAAATAAATAAACGTTGAAAAAAAAAAAAAGAAACATAGGAAACCAATGGATGTTATTGCTCAGATTATTCCGATATAGCCAAAGGGCTCCTTTTTTCCTGAATGATAAGTAACAATATGTCAAATTATTCCAAAGCCTGGCAGAATTAGAATATAGACTTCTGGGTGTCCAAAGAATCAGAATAAGTGTTGATATAAGATGGGATCTCCTCCCCCAGCAGGATCGAAGAAAGTAGTATTTAAGGTTTTGGTCTGTCAGTAGTATAGTAATTCCAGCTGCTAATACTGGTAGTGAGAGGAGTAACAGGACAGCAGTAATTAGGACAGATCAGACAAACATATGTGGTATTGAGATATGGTAGGGGGTTTTATGCTAATGATTGTAGTAATGAAGTTAATAGCACCTAAAATTCAAAAAACACCTGCAAGATGCAAGGAAAAAATGGTTAGGTCCACGGATGCTCCTGCATGGGCTAGGTTGCCAGCTAGAGGAGGATATACGGTTCAACCAGTCCCTGCGCTGGCCTCTACTATTGATGCGAGTAAGAGCAGGAAGGATGGGGGAAGAAGTCAGAAGCTTATTTATTCGAGGGAATGCTGTATCACGTGCTCCAGTTATTAATGGCACTAATCAGTTCCCAAAGCCTCTGATCATGGTTGTTACTACCATAAAAAAGATTACTACAAATTCATGGGCAGTGACAATTACATTATAGATTTGATTGTCTCCTAGTAGAGTGCCGGGTTGGCTGAGTTTGGCTCAAATTAGAAGGCTAAGGGCGGTTCCTACTGTGCCAGCTCTGGAACTGAATAGGAGGTAGAGTGCTGATATCTTTATGGTTAGTGGAAAATAGCAGTTTATGAGCATAGGTAAAATGGTTGAGTAAAGAGCATTAGAGTGTAAATCTAAGAACAGAGGTTTAAGCCCTCCTTTTGCCAAGCTCTGTGGTGAAATATCACATTGAATTGCAAATTCAAGGAAGCAGCTTCAAACTCTGCCGGGGCTGCTTCTGCCTTTTTTTTTTTTTTTTTTTTTTTTTTTTCCTAGACAGCGGGAGAAGCAGATTGAAGCCAGTTGATTAGGATATTTAGCTGTTAACTAAAATTTCGTGGGATGGAAGCCCACCAGTCTAGTAAGGACTTAGCTTAATTAAAGTGTTTGATTTGCAATCAGTTGATGTAGGATAGATTCTTGCAGTCCTTAGAGTTGGGTGTGCATGAGTTGCTTTCAACCTTAAGAACTTGTTTAGTTATTTCTTGTAAGGTGGCTCTGCTAGCAACAAATTCTCTCAGTTTTTGTTTATCTGAAGTATCTTTATTTTGCCTTCATTTTTGAAAGGCAGTTTTGTTGTATATTAAGATTCTTGGTTGACAGTTTTTTCTTTCAGCATTTTGAATATAGGATCTCACTGCCTTCTGGCCTTCATTATTTTTTTTTTTATATTAAAATGTTTTTTTAATATTTATTTTTGAGAGAGAGAGCACAAGTGGGAGAGATGCGGGGGGTGGGGGGGAGGGTGGAAACACAGAATCTGAAGCAGGCTCCAGGTTCTGAGCTGTCAGCACAGAGCCTGATGGCTGGGCTCTAACCTATGGACTGCAAGATCATGACCTGAGTTGGGGTCAACTGACTGAGCCACCCAGGCGCCCCTGGTCTTCATGGTTTCTGATGAGAAGTTAATATTATTGGGGTTACCTTGTACACAATGAGTTATTTTTCTTTCTGTCTTTCAGCATTTTTACTGTTAAATACCAGTGTAGATCTTTGCATGTGTCCTACTTGGAGCTTGTTGAGCTTCTTGGATATGTATATTAATGGTTTTCAGCAAATTTGGGGAGATCTTATTCCTTTGGATATCTTTAAAATGTAGTGTGTTTTTCATTACTGGAGGGCAAGTGGCTGGGAGGGGATGTGTTAAATAATAGGTATCATGGAGGGAACTTGTGAAGCACTAGGTGTTACATGTTAAGTGATGAATTACTAAATTCTATACCTGAAACTAAGATTATACTGTGGATTTAAATAATTGGAATTTAAATAAAAACTTGAAGAAAAAATGTAATATTTTTCAAACTGAAACTCTGTATGTACCCTTTTTAACACTGACTCCATATGCTGACCTCCTAGCCTCAGGCAACCACCATTTTACTTTCTGTCTCTATGAATTTGATACTGTATTTACATCTTTTTTTTTAAGTTTCTTTATTTCTGAGAGAAAGAGCGAGAGCGAGCATGAGCGGGGGAGGAGCAGAGAGAGGGAGACACAGAATCCAAAGCAGGCTCCAGGCTCTGAGCTGTCAGCACAGAGCCCGATGCGGGGCTCGAACTCACGAACTGCAAGATCATGACCTGAGACGAAGTCGGACGCTTAACCGACTGAGCCACTCAGGTGCCCCACTAGTTACATCTTATAAGTGGGATTATACAGTATTTGTTTTTTGTTTAGCGTATTTTGTTTAGCATAATGTCTTCAAGGTTCATCCGTATTATAGCTGATGACAGAATTTCCTAGAATTTGTATATTCTTAGGTATTGAAATTAGGTAGTCCCAATTCCTGGGTATTGAAACATATTTTTTCTTCCCCACTTGTTTTATTTTTGCTTCACTTTTATACTATCTAGTTTTGAATTATTGCCTGTCTAGTTTTATACATTGTTGTATGTATGCATCTAGTAAAACCTTTAAATTGAGAAAGTGAAACCAAACAAATACTGCTTTGTTACCTTTGAGAAAAGTTGATAGTGGTTATACTGTGGATATGCTGTTTATGAAATAGCTAATATATAAATTATAATGTAATTTTGGAATACGTAATTTTGGGGTCTTTTGTTTAAAAAATGTAAATGATGTTACCTCTCATTTGAGTATGATTTTGTGAAATTGGTGGTTCTCATTTTTTTTAAACTCATAGTCTGTATATTTGAGGGACTGTGACACATTTGCATCAGTAAACAAGACATAATTCAGTAGTGGTTCCCTGTAAGGAGGTCATGACTACTCCGCCAGTGAGTTTAATATACCCAGCTGCCCCAAAGTCACTGGTTAGTGTGTTTTAACTACGTGTGGCATAATCATTTTTATTCTTTTTCAAGTGCTTATGAAATTGTGCCATGTAACTTCTTTTAGTTTATTTTAACCAGTGTTGAGATTTAAGGCATCCTTTGCTCATGACCATGGTCTACCCACTTCACTTAGAACTATTATTTTGATAATAGCTACCTTGAATATGTGTGGTCTTGGAGTGATTGCTGAATCCTTGCCTCACTAAGGATAGGCACTGAATGAATATTGAACACAGCTATCATTCCTTTTAAACTTCTTGGTTCCTGGAGAGTATTTGTGATTTGAGGTACTTGTTATAATTTCCCTCAAGGTTTTTAATAAAAGTGTTTGATTAATATATAAAACATATCATTGGTCTGTAAATAAGCTCTACAAGTAAGTTGATCTTGTATATGGTCTTTTATTTCCTAAACAGAGACTCTACAGGGGCAGGTAATTCACTGGTCCACAAGCGGTCTCCTTTACGTCGAAACCAAAAGACCCCAACATCCTTGACCAAGCTGTCTTTACAGGATGGACATAAAGTCAAAAAGCCAGCATGTAAATTTGAAGAGGGTCAGGATGTCCTAGCTAGATGGTCAGATGGCTTGTTTTATCTTGGAACTATCAAAAAGGCAAGTTACCTTTATATATCTTTTACTGTTTTTTTATAGTAAACTTTTAATAATTTTGAATTTAAATTTAACTTCATGTTTTTGACTTAAAAACAAATCACCATAAATATTCCCCTGCATTTCAGATAAACATATTGAAACAGAGCTGCTTCATCATATTTGAAGACAGTTCTAAATCCTGGGTTCTCTGGAAGGACATTCAAACAGGCAGGTGCTACTATTTCTCTTGAACGTGATTTACACTGAAAAATTGATTTTCTTTAGCCTGTAATTTTCTTTCTTTCTTTTTCTTTCTTTCTTTCTTTCTTTCTTTCTTTCTTTCTTTCTTTCTCTCTCTCTCTCTCTCTCTCTCTCTTTCTTTCTTTCTTTCTTTCGCCTATTATTTTCTAAGTGTTTTCTGTTGAGTACAGTCTATTAAGATAAGGCAATCACTTTTGAGGAGATGTATTCTTTATACTTCTCAAGATGTTATACTCTATGTCGCAGACTCTGGAAGAAAAGGAATTACTCTTGTTAGGGTAGAGGTAGGCTAAAGAACAGATGCATCAATGATTGCAAATCTGTAAACTGTTAGGGTCTATCTAATAGCTTTGAAGAAAAATTTTTAGCCACTAATATGAGTAACATTTTGGGCTTCAACTTAACTGCCACTTGATTTTATTAGTAAAAGTAATGTAGAGAGCGCTGCCTGGGTGGCTCAGTCGGTTTAAGTGTCAAACTTCAGCTCAGCTCATGATCTCACAGTTTGGAAGTTTGAGCCCACATCGGGCTGTGTGCTGACAGCTTGGAGCCTGGAGCCTGCTTTGCATTCTGTATCTCTCCCTTTCTCTCTCTCTGCCCCTTCCCTGCTCACGCTCTCTCTCTCAAAAATAAATAAACATTAAAAAAAAAAAATGTAGAGAGCTAATATTTATTGAGAACATACTATTTGCCATATCTTTTGGGGAAATTAGCATATATTAAACAGGTTTAAAGTATTAGAAATGCTCATTAATAAGAATGACTTGAAATGACCATTTATGGTTTTTATGTTTAGATAGGAAAATGAGGCTATATTTGGGTGCAAATTAAAATGAATACAGGTATGCCTTGGTTTGGTTATAGGTAGGTTTCTTGTAGTGTTTTCCATTTTATTATTGTAATAATTCCTATAATTGCTGTGCGCTCTTTGACTCTGTTAAAGATATTTTTTAGGTATCTCTCATGAAAAGTGATTTACAAAAATATGAATATTAAAATCTGAGTATTTTAGCTGCACACTAAAGCCCCACTTTTTTTTTTTTTTGAGTTAATAGGCCTGCACTAAGACCTGTGTTTCATATCTCATAGAAAGGAGATCTAAATTTACTTTCCCTAAAGGATGGATACCTTTCTAAAATATTTAGTGATTGGGTTTTGAATTTGAATCTCAAGTGCAACTCTATGGTAGGTTACTACTGTCTGTGTGTGTGTGTGTGTGTGTGTTTTTTTTTAAGTTTATTTATTTTGGGGGTGGGGAGGGGCAGAGAGAGAATCTCAAGCAGGCTTTGCACTGTCAGTGAGGACAAGGGCTGAAGTGGAGCTGATGTGGGGCTCAAACTCATGAACCGTGAGATCATGACCTGAGCTGAAATTAAGACTCGGATGCTTAACTGACTGAGTCACCCATGTGCCGCTACTGTGTTCTATTTCTTGATTTCATTCTTAATTTTTTTTAAAGAATAAAGTTTTGGTAAAGGAATTAGAAATGTTCTAATTACCATCTACATAATTAGTACTCAGGGCTTAGGTGGGGAACTCAATAGTTCTTAGTCTAGTAAGATGTCTTTTCAAGAGGAACTTTTTACAGTTCTTGGGACTGATTAAAGTACTGAAATTATGTTTTGCATCTACAATTGAGGAGTCAGTGAGAAAAGGGGTAGGAGAAAAATAGGGAGTCTCCAACAGTAGTAATATTGAGCAGATCTTGTTACCCTACATACCTAATTATCTTTACTTTCTTAGTTTGTAAACATGGGTCTTTGTCTGTGGTAGAACTGAAGTTGGTATGTATGTATGTATGTATTTATTTTGAGAGACACAGAGGCAGTGTGAGTGGGGGGGGGGGGCAGAGAGAGGGAGAGAGAGAATCTCAAGCAGGCTCAGCACTGTCAGTGCAGAGCCTGAAGCGGGGCTCAAACTCATGAAACCACAAGATCATGACCTGAGCTGAAACTGAGAGTCGGACACTTAACCAACTGAATCACCCAGGCACCCCTGAAATGGGGTTTTTTGTTGTTGCTTTTAATGTTTATTTAATTTCAGAGAAAGAGAGCACGAGGGGGGAGGGGCAGAGAGAGAGAGGGAGACAGAATCCAAAGCAGGCTTCAGGCTCTGAGCTGTCAGCATAGGTGTGGGACTTGAACTCACAAACCGTGAGATCGTGACCTGTGCCAAAGTTAGACTCTCAAGCCACCCAGGTGCACTAAAGTGAAACATGTTTTATGCTTGTCTCTTATTTCTGTGTCCCTTTCAATTTTTCAGTGTTCCTTCAGGTTAAATATAGAGCTGTTTGTCTTTCTGTCTCTTTCTTCCATCCCTCCCTCCTCCCTCCCTCTCTCTATCCATTCCTTCCTTCCAGACAGGAAGAAGAAAGCCAGTAGTACATATAAAAAGTTGTGAAAGTGATGGAGGTGCATGTCCAACATCTGTATATCAGTTTAATGGTCTGTGATTGTTTTTGCTCACTGGTTTCTTTTTATTATCCTTAGAATTAAAATGAGAAAAGGATTGCTCCTTGTTTATTTAACTCTTTATAGCAACCAGAAAGTAGCACAAATGTAATTGGAGCAAGTGTAGAATGAACAAATGAATCTGAAAACTGCATTATGGCAGATTCAATGTGGAGAGTAGCTTTAGTAATTTTCTGCCTACAAAAAACTTGCTAATAATAGATATATACCAAACTAACTTAATAATTTAAATAAAAATGTGTTTATTTTGAGGGAGAAAGCAGGGGCAGGGAGAGAAGGAGAGAGAGAATCCCAAGCAAGCTTGGTGCTGTCAGTGCAGAGTCCAACTCACGGCTGAAACTCATGAACTGTGAAATCATAATAGCCAAAATCCGGAGTCAGACACTTAACTGACTGAGTCACCCGGGCCTCCCAAAATAACTTAATAAATTGGAGTAATTTCACCCATCTAATAAGATTCTTTTAAAAAGTTTATGTAAATAAGGAAAAATGTATAGTCAGTCATGTTAGTACTCAAATGTGCATTACAAAAGGGAGATAGGTTAAAGTAAGTAACTTTAAAAGGATTTTTAATTTTAACACCTAACACTATGATGGTTTCTGTGAAAATAATAAACTACTGATGGCAGTGTAAATTTTTATTTTGGGTATTACTTTAACTGTTGCATTGAATGCATAAGAATGCTTTATATTCTTTATTCAGTACTGCAGACTCAGTTCTAGCAGTTTATTCAAAAGAAATGATTCAAAAGTAAAAAAGGTAGGTGGAAAATATTTACTGTAGTTTATTTTTATTATAATAACAGAAAATTTGATATATCTAAGACAAAATCTGGAGTCTTTGGTCCTTTTCTAGGGAATGGCAGATTTGGACTGAGTGGTGTCAGGCTCAGTCCGGTTGCTCTCCTGACCGGAGCCATAAACTCGGAAGCTATGGAGGCCATGTCCTGCCAAGTGTAGAAGGAAGTAAACAAAACCTGGGAGAGGTGGGGAGAGAGGACAAGACAGTAAAATAAGTCTGGAAAAATGCAAACAAACAATTTGCTAACATACACCTAAGAGTAGAGGCGTAATAAAGGAAATTTGGTTTTTTCCACTCAATGGAATATTATGCAGCTATTAGAAGTTATTAACAGCAGTGTGAACAATACCTTTGATAGAAAAAATATTACAAAATACTGATGAAAGGAATCCTCTCACAGTGGAGAGAATATAGACTCTGGCATTTCTGTATTTAAATCCTGGCCTTGATGTTTTCTCAGGGTCTTTGGGTTAGTTACTTTATCTTTCTGAGCCTCAATTCCTCTCTATAAATAGCTTACTTACCTAATAAGTTGTAGAATTAAACAACATAATATATGTCAAGAGCCTAACAGTACTTGGCCCATAGGAAATAGTAAATTTTTATTGTTGGCATGTGAATAAACCATGTAGTTTAACTGTGAAATTGACAAGAAGAGAATATTGGGAATAATGATGTTAGAGTGTTAAAATTGTTTCTAAATTTTGTGGAATAAAATTGTTCTTAGAGTAAAAATGCCTAAAGAAGAAATAATTTACCTATTCAGGCAAAAAATATAGTTAATAACTGTGGAACTCCTTTAACTTTTGTTGCACTGGGATTTTGTTAGGATACTTTATTGGACACCATATTTCTAGATTTTAGAAGCTGGAGATTAAATAATTGGGATTCAGCTTCTTTCATAAATTAGTAAGTAAAAAGAAATGTTCTGCATCCAGAGAGAAAGAGGTCATTGACATATCTTCTTTGCCCTTTTTCTTCAGTATCATGATGGTAGACATTGTAGGGTGAGCAAATACATGTATATAAGTATATGTGTATTCTGGAGATTAGTTCTGATGTCCACAAAACATCCCATCTCCTTGTTCCCCAGGGGAGTGGGAATGTTAGAAGTGAATGATAAGGGATCTTGCCTGAGAGCTCTTTAAATTATGCCCTGTGCTGTAAAAGCAGGTTAAATTATCAATGTAGGTAGTTAGGCATCTTAAGTGAAAGGTGGGAGATAGCCTTTTGTAGAGAGTATTTTGCCTTGAGTAGAAATCATCATGTTCTAGTGAGTAAACACTGCCAATATGGAGTATCTGCTGAGTCATAAAAAGTAGTTGTGTTGTATGAAATAACTTCTTTATTGTGACTGTCTTTTAATGCATATTTTAAACATTTCAGGAGCCACTGGAAGTGGGGAAATGGTCTGTACAATATGTCAAGAAGAGTATTCAGAAGCTCCCAATGAAATGGTTATATGTGATAAGTGTGGCCAAGGTAAACATTGATTTCTTATAATCTTGTGGAAAAGTTTTATTACTTACTTAATGCTCCTGTTGAAGATTAATGATTAAAAGTACTCTTTACATTGGTAATTTGAAGCTGTTATCATAAATTTATTCAGTTATAAGTATATTAATGGAGAAGAGAATACTAAAATGCCTTCTTGAAATTGTGTTGTAGTATTTATTAATAAAATAGAATTTGCTTTATGCTTTTTTTGATATTAAGGATATCATCAGTTGTGTCACACACCTCATATTGATTCCAGTGTGATTGATTCAGATGAAAAATGGCTCTGTCGACAGTGTGTTTTTGCAACAACAACAAAGGTATCTTTTAAGTGTTTTGGGCTAAAGCCCTAAATGGAATTTGTAAGGTACTCTCAGCGTAATGATTGTGTACGTTGAAAGTTTATTTGACTGCAGTGAGCAATCAGTGCCGGGTAGAACAAGGTGATGCTTATTGTTTGACTAATGATGCTTAAGTGACTTGCTACTATCCTTGCACTTATTTTCTGATAGTGAGTGGTCTTGGAATTGGGGCAATAGTTTGAAAAACAACAAAATAAATAAAGATTATTACTAGTCAAACAGTTTGTGAGATGGTAAGAAATTTAGAATGGAAATTTCTTCAGAAGTTTCAAAAGCATTTTATGTTAAAGAATTATGTTTAGAATTTTATCCTGCACTTGTTTAAATAACTTTTTCCCTCTAATATAGAGGGGTGGTGCGCTTAAGAAAGGACCAAATGCCAAAGCATTGCAAGTCATGAAGCAGACATTACCCTACAGTGTGGCAGACCTTGAATGGGATGCAGGTCATAAGACCAATGTCCAACAATGTTATTGCTACTGTGGAGGCCCTGGAGAGTAAGTAAATAGTTATTTCATGCCCTTTAAGTGATTTCTGTTTATATTATGTACTTTATTTTTGTTATTGATTGTGGTGTGGGAATGATAGTGAATTGTAAATGCTTGGAAGTATCAATAAAGAAAATTAGGGGAGAAAATTAGAAGCTGTAGTTAATATTCATCTTTATCATTGTTACCTAAATAAGTGAATCATAGTTCTAACTAAGAACGTTTACAAATTTACCTTTAACTTCTGAACACTGCTCCTAGTTCTGCTCTTTGGAACTAAACAAATACATCTTCTTTTTCTTAGGAGGTAACTCTTAAAATATTTCAGTCCAGCAATCATATTTCCTACTACCATGACTCATACCAATAGTGTTTTTTTTCCAGGTCAAACTCTCCGTTACTACTGGACATTCTTTATGACATGATTTCTAACCTCTGTCTTTGTTGTTCTCCAGTTTTTGAGTATTACTCTTGAAATACAGTGTTATGATTAGAAAATGCATTGTTTCCAGGAATAGGCTCACAGATTATAATTGGGCTCTTAGAGTTCAGAACTGATGCTCCTGTTGTTGCAGGGAGAGATTGTATTTACTACCTCTCAGATTGTCCCATTATGTTTTTGGGATCATTTTGGTTTTGTGGTGGTCAACTAATACCTCTAATTCTTTTTTGTACAAGCTCGTATTAAGGCAAGTTGTGCATCATGTATTTGTACTACATTTAAAAACCACTAGTGAAGCATTTTATATTTCACTCTTTAAATTGTAATTATTGGTTTCTGGTGTCTTTCTTCCTCTCAGATTCAGTCTTTCTCTTAAGACAAGGGTGCTGTTTAGGAGAATGCTGGGACATGATTCATTAAAATATTATCTGTTCAAATGTGTGTACTGAAAATGTCTATAAAGTTTACTTATGACTGGGACATAAGTTGTTCAATGATGAAACATGAATAAATGAATATGTAAATTAATGAATTTTTAGTTCTTCATTCTGCCATATCTTGATGGAATTATTTATTTGTGATTTGACATTTTTATAACATTTCTTAGCTTTTGGTTGCTTGCAGATTTAAAAAACATTGTCTTGTTTCCTTAATCACTTATAAAAGAGATACAGTGAAGAGGCATAGAGATTGATCTTTTCCTTTATTCATTTATACCTACCATTTAATTTGAAGTATTACTCAAAATAGGTGGAAATCATCATAGACATTTTATAAGATGGATCATTCATTGTTCTTTAAATACCATGACTACATGAACTATGTTTGACACTGCTAGCCACTCTTAACTTTAATAGAGGATCTAGCTAAGTACTTGGAACATAATTTGTATTTATTAGTCTTTCGATGAATGAATGACCTTACTTAGTATCAGTCTTCTTGCCTTTGCGTATAATATGGCTTACAATTAATGTGGGGCTCACTTGTTGAGCAAAAGAATTATTGGAAGAAAGGCATTATTTGGGTAGCACGTAAGGATATCCATACCAAAACCATGTACTAACTGAAAGAAGAATATCCTTAGCTAGTGATTCAATTTTAGCTTCTTCAGCTATGTGAAACTGAACAAAACCTGTTACAAAGCCTGTACACCTGTTAGAGTCTTTGATTAGATTTGTAATTATGTTAGCCAAACTTATTAAGTTGCTATATTCCATTCCTTTTAATTATAATGGACAATAATGGAAACAGTATGAAGATATATAAAGTTGCTTATGGCTGTTTGGTTTATGGGGCAAACAGCTGTACACATCAGTAACCTCTGAAACTGTTTTCTCTTAGGGTGTAGAGAGTTGATGTGAAAAAAAAAAAATCTCAGGTTTTTTTATTTGGCAGAGATTGTTTACTAGTGTAGGAACCAGGCACTTATTGATGAAATAGTAGATGTATCTTTTTTTTTTTTTTTTTAATTTTTTTTTTTTTTTTTCTAGCACGTTTATTTATTTTTGGAGGACAGAGAGAAACAGAGCATGAGCGGGAGGGGCAGAGAAGAGGGGAGACACAGAGGGGAATCGGGCGGAAACCAGGCCAGGCTCGAGCCATCAGCCCATGACGAACCTAGCCTTTGCAGGCGGGGCTCGAACTCACCTGGGACAGTGAATCTCGTGACAGCTGAAGTCGGATGCTTAACCGACTGCGCCACCCAGGCGCCCCAGTAGATGTATCTTTAAAGAGCTCGTAAGTTCTCATGAATGAGAGAGGAGGGATGAAATCAGTAACCTTTTTGGGAAAGAAAAAATTTAACACTAAATTTAGCAGATATGCCATAGTGTAATCATAACAGTATTTTGTATAATGCCACTTTGGGTTTTGGTTTTAAAACTTTACCTGCAAACATAGCAATTTTAATCTTAACTTTTTTCTTATAGCTGGTATTTAAAGATGCTACAATGCTGCAAATGTAAGCAGTGGTTTCATGAGGCTTGTGTGCAATGCCTTCAAAAGCCAATGCTATTTGGAGACAGGTGAGAAGGGCACTTGAACTTTACCAATCGATATATTTTTTAGCTTTTATACTGTAGTTATGTTTGCTGTTGCAGATTTTTTTTAAAATAATTTTTTTAAAGTATATTTATTTTGAGAGAGACAGAGTGCAAACAGAGGAGGGATGGAGGGAGGGGGACCCCAAGCAGGCTTTGCAGGGTCAGCACAGAACCCCATGTCAGGACCGAACCCACAAATTGTGAAATCATGACCAGAGCCAAAATCAAGAGTCGGATGCCTAACCAGCTGAGCCACCCAGGTGCCCTTGTTTCAGATTTCTAAAAGGAATTACAACAGTGATTTGTGAAGGAGTCACCTTACTGGGAAAATATTGAGTAATATATTTAAATTATGCATAATTTTATCTTATTTTGAGAGAGAGAGGGGGAGCACGCATGAGGGATCAGAGGGAGAGAGAGAGAGAGAAAATCTTAAGCAGGCTTCACACTCAGCGCAGAGCCCAATGTGGGGCTCGATCTCATGACCCTGGAATCATGACCTGAGCTGAAATCAAGAGTTGGACTCTCAACTGAGTGAACCACCCAGGCGCCCAAATTATGCATAATTTTAAAATACACATAATTCTTGTGCTTTTAGATGTTATTCTGGAACACTTTGAAGTATTTGATCAGTGATTATATTTGCTCCTTTTGTCCCACATGCTCTAAACTATTTCCATTGGTACCTTCCTTTAAAGAACCTTAGAGGGATCCTGTGACAGAAAGTTGGAAAAGGCCATAGAACCTTGATACACAAAATATGCATCTGCGTTCTAAAGAATTTCCAAAAGCAGACCTAATGTGCTTTCTGGGTTAGGAGAATATGGAATGGCAGAATATGGAATGGCTCTAGGAAGAAAAATGAAAGACAGAGCTCTGAATTTGGCATAAAAATCCTGGGTTTAAATGTTGACTTATGTTGCTTACTATCTTTTAGAATTTAGGAAGATCAACTTCTCTCCTTTTATTTTACCAGATTGTTTTGAGCATTGAATATAACATTGTATGTGAGGGCTGTCATCACAATTCATGTTACACACAGCCATTAGAAAACTGTATGTGTATATGAATCTGTGTGTGAACTGTGAATGTCTCCTCTGTAATTAAAAAAAAAAATACTTCTGCCTCCTATATATGAACTATTTCATTATTTGTTGTTACTGGAAAAGAAATTTTTTAAATCACAGTGTCTTAATTCAAATTAGGTTTTGCTTTTTGTATCAGTCATCTATTGTAGGATATGTACTTGCTGAATATTAGCTTTAATTGTTGAATATGTGTACCCTTGATTACTTAGCATACAACTTTTCTTTTTTCCTTAGGTTTTATACGTTTATTTGCTCTGTCTGCAGTTCTGGACCAGAATACCTCAAACGTCTACCATTACAGTGGTAAGTATGGATATTTCTGTTAAGGAACAAAAAAGGACCATATTCTTAAACTTAATAGGGTGAAATGCGCTGCATACATTAACTTGGTTTAAATAAAAATTTGTTTTTCTTTATGCCTAGCTTTAGTTCTTTTATTTATCCTTAAACCTGAGGTCATCTTCACTAAAGATTGTCTAGTCTTATTGCTGAAATGATAAGGCCATTTATTTTCTGATCCATAAAATGTAACTGTACATATCTTTTAGATTTTTAAAATTCTTATTTATTTATTTTTTTTATTTAAAAAAAATTTTTTTTTAACGTTTATTTATTTTTGAGACAGAGAGAGACAGAGCATGAATGGGAGAGGGTCAGAGTGAGGGAGACACAGAATCTGAAGCAGGCTCCAGGCTCTGAGCTGTCAGCACAGAGCCTGACGTGGGGCTCGAACTCACAAACCGCGAGATCATGACCTGAGCTGAAGTCGACCGCTTAACCAACTGAGCCACCCAGGCACCCCTAAAATTCTTATTTATGTTATTAATTCTTTTGGGACTTCAGATGAGAGAGGTCTTATACCAAATATGCCAGTTTCTGCTTTAGTGTAATTTTTGGGCTTGGGAAAAGTGTGATGAGTTTTGGAGATTTACTGACAAAATGCTTATAGTAAGTACTTAGAAACTTTCATTGAATGCTTTATGTATTTTAGGAAAAGATAAGATTTAACTCATGAATCAGATAAAGTCTGTTAAAGTATGATCTTTGCTATGGCTTATATGTAAGTGAAATGGAAAATTTTTATTGTAAGTTTTCTTAAAGTTACATCCTCTTTGAATGAAAGAGATTATTCAGATATCTTTTACTTTATACTGACTACTTACTATAAGTAAATGTTTAATGTTTCCCTGTTATTTTCGTATGTAATGATTTATTACATTGTGATTATGATTTATGGTATTGACCCTCTGCTTACCTAAATACTTCACTTTGGATTTTTTAATTGCTGTTTTTATTTGTAAAAATACGATTTTTTAACAATAATCAAAAGCATGTTTTTGTATATTTTGATTATTTTTGGATTCCAGGGTAGATATAGCACACCTATGCCTTTACAACCTAAGTGTTATTCACAAGAAGAAATACTTTGATTCTGAACTTGAGCTCATGACATATATTAATGAAAACTGGGATAGATTGCATCCTGGAGAGGTAAGTGGTCTTAGGGCTAACTTCATTAGCTACTTGATATCTTTTTTGTTTTGTTTTGTTTTTGTGAAAAGCAGCCAAGATACATGTATAAGTCACACATCTAAAGTAGGGTTTTATTTTTAGTTCAGGGAGAAATAACTTTGAGGATATGAAGACTAGCCCTCTCATACTCCTGTTGCCTGTTTATTCAGGGAAAAACGTAGACGGAGGAAGTAAATTACTTGATTCTTTCTTTTCTGAAGTGAGAATCATTGTAAAGATATAAGGGAGGGAGAAATCCTTATTGTGTATCTTATGGTTCCTCCTTAGAAAAACTTAAGGTTTTTTAAAGTTTCTATAAACTTAGAGATGTAACTAACATTCTTTCCTCTCTTGTTGGTACTCCCTTATATATCTTTGACTTCCAGGAATCGGAGGGAGGGGACCCAGTAATAGTGTTAGAATAATGAATTAGAGGGTAAAGCTGAGTTGGAGATTATCCTCCTCATTCTAACATCTCATTTTGCCTTTCATTTGCAAAGCCTAACCACTCATACTGATTTACAGAGTCTTTTTAAAAAACAATGTAAAAGTTAACGTATGTTCATTGAAGAAGATTTTGAAACAGTAGGCAAGCATGAAGAAGAAAGTAAAATAATAGTTACCTTGTTTTTAGCAGTTATTTAGAATTATTAAAATAAGGATATTGGGGCACCTGGGTGGCTCAGTTGGTTAAGTGTCCAACTCTTGATCTCAGCTCAGGGTCGTGAGTTCAAGCCCTATCTTGGGCTCTGTGCTGGGCATGAAGCCAAATTAAGAGAAAACAAATCTATATCTATATACACATATAGATATAGATACTAACTACTCTTAGCTTAAATAAAAATCTTGTTTTATAATATGTGGAATTAGATGTGTAAATTTTAGTCACACATTACTTTTTGAGGTAAAAATTGTGTAAAGTAACTTGAAGTTTAGGAAGAATTTCTGCTTTGTAACTTTTAGACATGAGGCAGTTTATAAAAGGTTGATGACAAGTAGAATATCAGGGTTTTTTGGGTTGTTTTGGGGGGTTTTATGAGGCATAAAGGAGAGCATAATGCACATTTATTTAAAAGTTGGTAGGTCAGCTGCATAAAATATTGAAACAAATACCTGCAGAATACTTAGATTTTAAAAATCAGAGATACCATTTAAATCAATGGAGCCAAGATGTTTTGAGTATTAGAAGTTGGAATATAATGCTCTGTTTTCTGTTACATGCTTTTTTTCTGGGTGAAATTTGAGAGAAAAGGAGTGACTTACAAATTTGATAAATTTTAATAAACTGATTAGTAATAAAAGAAAAACAAGTATAAGGCACTAACAACTGTAGTGTTCATTATAGTTATCTTAATATGTAAAGCTTTAATACATTCTTTTAAAATGCTTTCTTTCTAGCCATGGTTCTTTTCAGCACTTCTTATGCAGACACATCTATAGTCTTAGTGCATTTTATGTATCATATTAAATTCTGTAGTGGTTACTTAGTGTAGACAGTGGGCACACATAAAAACTCAAGTTACTTTATTTCAGATGCTTTTATTAGAATAAAAAATGATACATAGATTTTATTCAAGAGGCTGAAAATAGAGAGTAAAAATCACAATTAGCATATTTAAATTTTTTTTTTTTTTTTTTTTAATTTGAGAGAGAGAAAGAATCCCAAGCAGGCTCCATGTTCAACATGGAGACTGTAGCTTGGCTTGATCTAACAACCATGAGATCATGACCTGAGCTGAAATCATGAGTTGGATGCTTAACCGACTGAGCCACCCAGGTGTCCCTAGTCTATTTTTAAGAAATGAGTTCAGTTTATGAATTTCAGGTATCTCAGTTCTAGCTCAGGTGGTTCAGTTCTGACACATAAAAAAAAAAAATTATTTCATTAGTAGATACATGTTCTCATTTTCCGTAGCTTTTATGGGGTAATGTCTTAGAAATAAGAAATTTTGATTTCTTATTCTTTGTGAATATGGAAAATTTAGTCTTTGCAAAATTTAAAAATTAAGAGGAAACAGGGGTGACTGGCTGCCTTAGTCATTAGAGCATGCAACTCTTGATCTTGAAGTTGTAAGTTTGAGCCCCATGTTGGGTATAGAAATTACTTAAAAATAAAATCTTACAAAAATAATTAAGAAGAACAACAGTATACTCTAATAAAACTTGACAACAGAAAAGTTTCACTGTTCTGAAGAGTGTTTACATTTTTTGGAGCCATCACATTTATTAACAAGTGGCTTTCTAATCATTTCTCATTGCTTTGTCTCTGCATTAAAAAGAAGAAAATATTCAGACTTAGATTACTCATTCCATCCAGCAGTATTTACAGATGGAAGTTCAGCCTTTAATTTTGTGTTAATCTTTTAGATCTTTATACTGTCATTATAATTGGTTTTGAGAGTGAAATTTTAATAATAAAGAGACCATAACATTGATGCCAAGACCATAACATTGATGCCAGCTTGAACATTTACTCAATAATTTTCATTTAGTTTGCCTTATTAAATATTTGTGATAATAGAAACAAAAATAATACAAATAACGGATTATTCTGGATTATTAAAATAGTAAATCTTTGGTTAACTGAAATCAAATTGCGAATTGAGTCTTCCTTTTTGTTTATATTTATGTTAAAAACCTTTTTATAAAGTAGCATTAATTACTTTTAAAACATGAGAAAATACTGTATGTTAAGTAAATTGTTGGTTGAGTACTCGAGTCATTTTGAACATTAGTTCTTTTTTTTTTTTAATTTTATTTTATTTTTGAGACAGAGAGAGACAGAGCATGAATGGGGGAGGGTCAGAGAGAGGGAGACACAGAATCTGAAACAGGCTCCGGGCTCTGAGCTGTCAGCACAGAGCCTGACGTGGGACTCGAACTCACAGACTGCGAGATCGTGACCTGAGCCGAAGTCGGCCGCTCAACCGACTGAGCCACCCAGGCGCCCTGAACATTAGTTCTTATACATACTCTAGATTATGTTACATTGGCAGTTGCTCTAGAAGTTTCTCCTCAAAATTGAAACAAAACAGAAAAATAGCTGTAATTTTACTTCCTCCATCTAGGTAAAAGAAAAAAGACTTGTGATGACTTGAGAAGTTGATTGAGATTTGTATGACATTTTGTTTAGGAATATATATGGACACACTAGTATCAGGGAGGCACTAATATTTGCCATTCCTGAGCTGAATTAGGACTTAATTTTCTATATTACATATGATGACTCTCGCCACATAGTAATATTTCTGTGCTGTTTTGGAAGCCTAATAAATACTTTCTTCAGTTGCCAGTTGTGAAGCAGTCTTAATTGCATCAGTGATATCTGTTGAGTGTTTTGTACTTCTTTTTGTTGTTGTTGTTATAAAGGAACTATGACTTCTTTTATAACAAAAAGAAGTTTCAAAAATACTAAACTTCTTTTGGAGAAGAATTAATTTTGGGGGGAGAATATATCCTTTTATACTGAAAGGCAAATTTAACATTTATGTATCATGTTTTTTCCTTAGTTGGTTATTTCAGGATTGAAAAGAGAAGCTGAAACTTTTAGAACATATTGGATCATAATGATAGTTCTGTATCATGTTTCCTTAATGTGATTTTTTACACATCTTTGAGACTTTGTGCCTTAATGATTATCAATCATATGACCGAATGTAGCTATTTGAGAATCCACTGTTTTGAAATGTTTGCTTTGAGAGTAAAAATACGTAATACAACATTTGAGATCCCAAATAAAGCTTGCTTAAGGCTTTTTTTATTTAGAATGAGGAATTAACTTGTACTGGATTGCTTTTGGGAGTTAAAATGAGATATTCATAGCTTTTGGAATCTGCTTATTATTTGTCTTTAATTCCTAATGTGATCAAAAATCCTAGTTCTGTAAGGGCAGCCTACTTTTCTGTTAACCGTGGTCTTAAATTTTAAAAAACTATGTTGGCAAACAAATGACTTAAGCTGTTTGACATACTTAAGTCTAAGCAGCATGGAATTCAATACTGGTGATTGAAACTGTATTTTACCGAAGGGAAGAGTTATAACTATGCATAATAGTATTTATGTCTGTACAGAAATTTACAACCCTGAAAGTTAAAGCCTAGTATGAGGTTAGTGTCTGTGATAAAAGGAACAAAAATGGTTACTACGTTTATATTATAAACCTCATGAACAGATCGCAAACCTAGAATATGATGTTCTTCAGATCGCAAACCTAGAATATGATGTTCTTTTAATACAGATTACTTGATTTAAACTATAGTATCTGTACTTATTAGTCTTCAAAATAAACAAATGGATCTCTGCCCCCCCCCTTTTTTTTTGAGAGAGAGAGAGAGAGGGAGGGAGGAGGGGGAGAGAGAGAATCTTAAGCAGGCTCCATGCCTAGCCATGGGGCTAGATTTCACAATCATGACCCAAGCTGAAATCAAGAGTTGGACACTCAATCAACTGAGCCACCCAGGCGTCCAGAAAAGGATCCCATGACCCCATAATGCAAGTTGAAATATATATAGTTCTATGCAAAATAGTTTTAGAGTGCTAAAGGAACTTACAGATAAAATTTCTGAGACATCATAGAGAGTAAGTACCAAAACAAAGAAGAGAGTTCATTCATTGTGCTTTTCAAAAAGTGAAAGAGAAGTAGATTTGAGAAATTAGTCAGTTTTGTTGTTGTCAGCATAAATATAAAGCACATTTTTCAGATGTGTGGTTTGTGAAGATTTAAAAAGCAGTAAGGCAGGGTGCCTAGGTGGCTTAGTTGGTTAAGCATCTAACTTCAGCTCAGGTCATGATCTCATGGATTGTGAATTCTAGTCCTGCATCGGTCTCTGTGCTGACAGCTGAGTCTGGAGCCAGCTTCATATTCTGTGTCTCCCTGCCTCCCTCCCTCCCTCCCTCCCTCCCTCTCTCTCTCTCTTTCTCTCTCTGTCTCTCTCTGCTCCTCCCCTGCTCACGCTCTGCCTCTCTCTCTCTCTCTCAAAAATAAACATCAAAAAAAATTTTTTAAAGCAATAAGGAAAAACACTCTTTTACTATAATGTTTCTTTTTTTGATATGGTTAGCCACACTGGTGTGTCAAATGGGTATGGGTATGTTATAGACATTGTGTAACTCAATTTCAGATTAGATAATGAAATTTGAAGTGGTTAAAATTAAAAATTAAATGTATATGATACTAATTAATAGAATTAGTTAGAATTAATAGAATTCTAATTAATAGAAACAAAAGCAGTCAGTGGCTTGGAAATATTCTTGAGGGAGATTCTAATGGAGAGTCACAGGGTTCTGTCTGTGTCTACCTTCCAATTCAAGGATGACAGAACAAGAGGAAAGATGATCTCTAACAGAGACCTGAAAACAAAATCAAATTAACAGCAGTCACAATGTTTTGCTTTTAAGGCTTAAATACACAAACATCCAGTTCAGAAGAAGTAGCGTATGATAGGGAGCACTTGATTTGATCAGTTTATCTGATAAGATTTTACAGTTGGGGTGGTGAAGTAGAGATGAGGAAGTGGATGAAATTAGTTACCCAGAGCTTAATATGAGATAATCATGTGATGTGGCTGCTAAAAACTTTTAACATAATCTTACACTTAGACATAATCTTATACTTAGACATGACAAGCTGCTGCCAAATATTTGAAGAACTGTCTTGTAAAAGAGGGAATAGAAGAGTTCCAGGAAGGAAGGTGTTGTCCACCTATGGAATGGGCTCCCTCATAGGTGCCTCAGCAGCTTTCATCAATGGTAATATTTAAACCAAGGTTGAATGAATGTCAGTACTATAAAAGGGATTGCAGTATTGATGGAACCTTGAATTAGATGGACATCTAAAGTGTCTTTCCAGCTTTTAGGTCTGATTCTGTTATTTTTCTTTAATAGAAATTCTCTATCATTGGACACTACAGAAATTACGATAAGAGGAAGTGGTATGGTATAGAGGCATGAACACCAAACTGTCCCATTTCTTTTCTTTTTTTTCTAAAAGCACCCAATGCATCAGCACAGTATGGGCTCTCAGTGAATGTTGAATGAGTGGACTTTTGTCACTTGGGTTCAGATTCTGGCTCTCTCACTAATCAGCCATGTGAATTTGAGCACTTCATTTAACCTTTATATCTGTTAACTAATCTGTAAAATAAAGGGAGTTGGAGTAGATGACTCTGTCTCTTCTGCCTCCAACATTCTATTTAGCAGATTTGTTTTCTCTTTTTACTTGAAGCAGTTCTGAGGTTTGGAAGTTTAAATTGGTAAAGACCATACTGGTAGTAAAAAGTCAACTATGATATTCTGGAATTTTTTTTTTTAGTTTTTGTGGCTTTAATTGAGAATGGTCCTTCTATAATGTAGTTTTTTTTGTTACTGGGCCCCCATCTTTAAACTTGGAAGAAGATGCAGAAATGACTTTTAGGGGAGCTCTTTTGAAACAAAATAGTATTTTTTAGAATTGAATATTTAGATTTTAAAATGATTTCTGATGATAAATTACTGAGACATTTTGGGTTTTAGCGATGGCCAAAGTCTATAACCTTTATGAAAATAACTCCCCTCCCCCAGTTTCACAGAATTTTTCAAAATTACAGAGATTATGGGTTTCTGCTAATATTAGAAGTATTGGGAAATAAAATGTTATGTTTCTCATTTTTTATCCTCTTTTCCTACTAATATCTATTAGAAGCAATTGATACCTATTAGAATATCTATTAGAACCAATATATGGTTGATATTAAAGTCATTCATTCTATGTATTATTTCCTCGGATTATGGAATTAAAATAAATTTAGTAACTAATAAAATCCCATTTTTGTAGTGTTTTAACAGTTTTTTTTCAGACATGTCATTTGATTTATAAAATTACTTGTAATAGGATTTTTACACCTCTGTTATATATATATAATTTTTTTGTTTGTTTAATGTTTATTTTCGAGAGAGAAACAGAAAGCAAGCAGGGGAGGGGCAGAGAGAGAGAGGGAGACATAGAATCTGAAGCAGGCTTCAGGCTCTGAGCTGTCATCACAGGACCCAATGGGGGCTCGAACTCACAAACGGCGAGATCGTGACCTGAGCCGAAGTTGGACGCTTAACTGATTGAGCCACTCAGACGCTCCTACTCCTCTTTTTATAGATAAGAAAACAAGAAGAGGTTAAATAACTTTAGATCATGCAGCTAGTCACTGAGGACCTGGAATTGGAACTTAGATCTTCTGACTATCAGTCAGTACTCTTTTCTTCTGCATCACATTGCCTCTATCTAGCACCTGTATATTACTAACTAATGAAATTATAGTGCTTTAAATTGTTTCTTGATACTTCACAGCTGGCAGACACACCAAAATCTGAAAGATATGAGCATGTTCTGGAGGCATTAAATGATTACAAGACCATGTAAGTTGATTTATTTTATGTATCCCTATGAGGGAGACTTGTAGTAAGTATAAGGAATAATGGCATTGTTTAAGAATTGTGGGGTTGATGTTTAGTACAAACCATTTTAAACTTTTAAATTTTAATTTCAGTTGAGCAAAGCAGTGATTCTCAAGGGTTGGAGAAGGGAAGAGCAATCCTCTGGGAATGGTGGATGGGAGGCAGGCATACCAATATCTCAGGGGCTTTTGGCTTGTTCCATTGAAAAACATATTCAGTAATGACTTGTTTTTATAATACAGTCCCCTGAAAATAAAATAATATCTTAGCTGGTGGGAAAATGCAAAAGATAGTGGAAAATATTATAGAGAATATTGGTTTTAAAATGATTGAGATCTTCTATGGTTTTAAGATCAGTTATTGCCATCAGTTGCAGAAAAATAGTAGTCTTAATTTTTTGATAATTGATTATTGTTGGATATATCCTTGTATAGACCTTTCTTTTTTTAAGAAATAAAAAGCATATCTACATTTCTTAAAAATATTTAAAAATTGCAATAGAAATAATTTTTTAAGTGTATATGCTGGCCCTTACCAACTGTTCAGCAATTTTATAAAATTTTTTTTGTAACAAGTTGCTTTTTTTGAACTTGACAGAATTTCCTCATTAAAAATGTTACAATTACTAGCAGCTAAATCTTTAGGTCAATTTAAAAAGCCATAAAGTGCCTGAGCATTTACAGTACTGGTAAAAATACTTTATGGGATGTGAATTCTGTAATCCAATTTAGGGTACCAGAAATACATATGTTCTTATTATGATAGAAATGGGAGCTTCCCTTTCTCAAACATGCATGGAAGTGGAAGAACATTCCAAGTGTTTGGTAGTGGTTCTGGAAGGTAGGCAGGGTATAGTAGAAGTAAGGTAGGTGGGGGTGTTTTGGATTAAGGAGCCTTAAGGACTTTGGAAGAGAGTTAGGAGCACATTTTTTAGAGACCCAAACCCACACCGAAATAACATTTTTCTGTTCCAGATTATTTCCAATTCTAAGTATGACACACTAGACACTCCTTTTATTTTCTGGACCTCTCATATTGGGTTCTCTTTTCCAGTGCTAACACCTGCTACTTTCTGGCCAGGGTTTCTCCCCTCACAGATTCACTCTGAAATAGAATTCTTCTTTTCCTAAACCATTTTTGAGATCTTTTAAACAGGACAATGAAATATGGAAAACACATATTGGGACTAAAAAGACACCACTCTCCACTTTCTTCCTTTAAAAAGTTAGATGCCATGTTTTATTATTTAAAAAAAAATTTTTAATGTTTCTTTATTTTTGAGAGAGAGAGCACCAGCAGGGGAAAGACAGAGAGAAAGAGACACAGAATCTGAAGCATAGATGCCACATTTTAAAAAGAAAAGTGGATGTGTGCTCTTCTCCCTTCCTTCTGATCCTATCCTTCCCCCCGACCTCCTTCGCCATTGTATCCAACTGTGGATTGACTCTGGGAGCAGATAAGAATCCAGGAAAGCAAAGGGAAAGAGCGAGTTTTGTAGTGTTGGGTGGACTTTCATCTATAAAGGCTTTATATCTGAAAGTTGTGAGTTAGGGTCTGACATGTATATGTGTTCAGTTTTTAAATTTTTAGTTAATTTTTTTAAAAATTTAGGTTTATGTCTGGGAAAGAAATAAAGAAGAAGAAGCATTTGTTTGGGTTGCGAATTCGTGTTCCTCCTGTGCCACCAAATGTGGCTTTCAAAGCAGAGAAAGAACCTGAAGGAACATCCCATGAATTTAAAATTAAAGGCAGAAAGGCATCCAAACCTATATCTGATTCAAGGTAAAAGTTGATCTGTGGCTTAGTTTTTCTCTTTAGCTTATTTGTAACTAAAAATGTGTTATTTAGTCTCATTAGTATATATGAAAGTGTAAGTGGCAGTTACCCTGATTTGTTTTCCTGTTTATAATTTCTTGCTTAGACAAGGTACAAAGAGTTAATGTTAGATGTTTATTTATTTATTTTAGATATTAGGCTTTCTAGGAATAAGCCTATTGGTTTTGTTTAGCAGACAGCTTAAGTACTAGCTTGTTCGTTTGTTCATTTTTCATTCATTCATTTATCCATTTATTTCCATTTATCAAGCAACTTAACTGTCTAAGTGCTGGGGATACAATAACAAACAAAACAGACTTTCCTTCTGCCTTGATGGGTTTACAGTATAGTGGTGAAGAAAGGTGGTAAATAATTACAGGTCATTCTAGTGCCATGTAGGGCATAGCATTTGGATTTAGGTTGTACTGGGATGGTTAGAGGTGAAGTGGTTTACTTTTAAGAAGGAATCTTAAAGACCTATCTAAGATGATATTTAAGCTGAAACTCAAAGAATGAGACTAACCTACCAATGTGAAAGAACAAAGGGAAGAATACTGCAGGTGGTGGAAATAACGAGTATGAAGGATGTGAGGTATGTTCTAGGAATTCACAGACTAGTGACGTATGAATGAGGGCTAGAGATTAGCATCAGGTGTTGGAAAGTTTGGATGGGGCGTGATCATGTAGAGTTGTGTAGGTCTTTGAGGAATTTTTTAAGAATAATGGGGAGCTATTTAAAGATGTAAGCAGATTGAATTATCCTTTAAAAATACTTCTTTGTGTGCTTTTGGAGAGTGGATAGGTATAGAGGTAAGAATAGAAGCAAACAAAAATGAAGACTCTTGCAGTCATCTAGGTGTAAGAGATTGCCTGGGTAGTGGTTTCAGTCAAATGGAGACAAAATAGATTTAAGACTTCTATTGGAGGCAAAATTCATTAGGTTAGCTAATGATTTAAACTTATGAAAGAAGGAGAAATCAAGTTACACAAAGCCCAGATTTCTGGCTTGAGCAGCTGGTGGGTGGTGGTGTCTGGTATCAAGACCTACAAGAACAGATTTTGGCAAGGTGAACGAAGCATTCTTCTGTGTCATACTAATTGAGTTGGAGATTTTTACCAGGAATATCTAAATGATGATGATGTTAGATATAGACAGCTGAGTGTGTCAGGAGCTCAGGAAGGGTTAGGGCACATGATACAAATTTGGAAGCTGATTTATAAGGCCATGAGAATGAATGAAATTACCTAGGAAGCAAGGAGTTGGTGGGGGAGAGAATGAGGCCCAGAGTAATGCCCTGTTATCATTTAGAGATTTGGAAGAGGTGAAAGAAACAGGAGGCTAAAAAAGAATGATCAATGAGATAGGAGGAAACCAGGAAAGTTTAGTGCCCTGAAAATCAAGAGAAGGGGGGTGTTTCAGAAAGATGAGCATATTAAACAGTATTGAATGCTGTTGAGAGATGGATTTAAGGTGAAAGGAAAATGATTGTTGGATAAGATAACATTCTGTTATTAATGGCCTTGACAAAAACAGGTTTTTTTGGAGAGGTAAAGATAGAAGTCAGACTGAAATGGGTTGAAGTATGATTGAATCCAGCACTGCTCAATTAAAATGTCAAAACTGGGCTTTTTCTACAAATAAAGGACATAGGCAGATTCATATAATAATAATGATAATAAAGGGAAAGGGGGAAATGGGAAATTAAGAACTCTGAATAAGAAGGGAGAAAGTGGAAAATGTTTGTGCGAGAACACTCAGAAGTAGTTTTACTTTGAAGAGAGGTAGACAAATGGAAGCTGAAGAGGAAAGGAAGTACTCAAGTGATGACTTTTAAATAGAAAATTAATTGGAACCTGTTTTTATGTGCTACTAGGAATGATCCAGTGGAAAAGAGATTGGTACAGGAGAGAGGGACAGGTAACTGAAAATATTGTAAAGTCCTTGAGAATCCAAAAGGGAAGGGATTTAGAACTTAAACATGGGAGTGGCCTTTGATAGGAGGACTTCTAGAACCCTTTTGTTGAAATTGGGTGAAAATAGGTACAGATACTAGTTCTGCTGTAGATTTGGTGTTTGGAAGATGACTGCAGTTATTGTTTTGGTAGCTTCTGTTTTCTCAGTGAAATACTGAGGTATAAAGATGGCTGAGGGTTGTGCAGAGAGGGAAATTTAAGGAGTAAATAAAAGGTATGAGAGTACCTGGAGAGTAAGAAAAAGTAATAACCCAGGGTTAACAGTGTTTCATATCCATTTGAATGTGTAATAAAGTAGATAATGCTTTTAGGTTGTTGTTTTTTTTCCCTAAAGCAAAGCATATTTACTCCTATCACTTTCAGATTTTATCATTAATCCTTTGCTATCAGTTGCCCATATTATGGATTAGAAAAAGGTTTACACAAATTTTCTCATTCCTATCACATTAATGAGACACTCCATCTGTGTTAGCTAGTTCATTTGATGCTACCGGGAAATGGTTCAACTTTCTTTCAAGGCATTCTCTATTCCTTCTGGGTCCTATGTATGAATTGGTCCTTTTAATCTGAAAATACTTTGTTTAATCCAGGGGTCCTGTATAAATGTTGATCATCTTAAAAAAAAAAAAAAAACTATACTTCCATCTATTTTATCCTTGAGACTTTTGATTGTAGTTCTAGTTATGCTTTATTCCTCTAGCTCCCCTACTTTCTCCTTCCTTGTACTTCCACCTTTATTGCCCAACTTTAGTTTGGTGTCTGGAGTAGTTTCTTTTCTAGTTTTCTCCATTCACCTCTTTCTAGCCTATTCTATGGTGTTATTCCTTGTCTGTGTAAAAACACAGGAAATTAAAATTTCCTGGGTAACTTTCTTATAGCACTTAACTCTTTTTATCAGCCTTTTTGTATGTATCTTTGTCACTTTCTGACTGTATTATGGACCCCTTAGCACAGGGAAGATCTTTGTATTTCTATTATAGCCCCCCCCCTTTTTTTTATATGGTAAATAATGTTTGTTGAATGAATGAAGTAGATGTTCTCTGTATTGATATTTGCCCTTTTCTTATTCCCTTCTATTAATTAGAGATGTCCTTGACTTGCTATTTTCCCCCTTCTTGCTTCATATTTGCTTTTATGTCTCAAAAACTGGTTTTCTAGATCTTTCTAATTGTACCTTTTGAATGACTCCCTGCCTAATATAAAGGATTCCTTCTTCTACACTCTTCCACCCTGGGTTTCATTCTCTTTATGATTGATATCATTCAAGAATATATATATTTATTTCTAAAGGCAACGTGTATTTATAGCTACTATATTTTAATACAGATACTTCCTGGCTCCATGTGGGTAATGACTAAGTTCATAATTACTTTTAGTAATAAATTCTTAAAATATTCCTTTAAGGGCCTACATAGTAACAACCTGGACTAAATAATGGAACTCTTGGGGGTTTGGAAATCTTCCTTCCAGTATAGTAGTCTGTTTTTGTTTTTGTTTATTAACTTTGAGGTTGTATATATTTTTCACAATTGTGGTAAAGAGAAAAGTTTTTCCCTTAAACTTTTCATATATAAATAATATCTGAGTCAAGAAATGTTTATTTAAATTGGAATGTGTTCTCTGTACGCACTTGACTAAATTGGTAGATTCAACTTACATTTAATTTTTTTGGTTTTTGTTACCATTAGTATAAAAATAAGTGTAACCTAATTATTACGTAAGTGGAGCTAAGCCAGTATATATTGTCCATTGTCTTTTTGTTTTTCTTTATGCAGAGATTAAATACATAATGATTTTATGTTTCAGGGAAGTAAGCAATGGCATAGAAAAAAAAGGAAAGAAAAAATCAGTAGGTCGTCCACCTGGCCCATATACAAGAAAAATGATTCAGAAAACTGCTGAGCCACCTTTGGTAAGAGGATGTGTTGGTATATATTCTCAAAGAAGACGGATGCTTGAAATTAACTGAGAAATGAGTATCTTTTTAGTTTACTTTAGAGCCATGCTTTAAGTATGTTATTTTTTATTTTCCAGGATAAGGAATCAATTTCAGAGAATCCTACCTTGGATTTACCTTGTTCTATAGGGTAAATAGAAAGTTATTTTCTCCTATTCTAGGAATTTTCTTTTGGGGGGAAATGAATATTTCTATTGTTATGTAATATAGTCGTTATACCATTTAAATTCTTTTGTCTTAGGAGAACTGAGGGAACTGCACATTCATCCAATACCTCAGATGTGGATTTCACGGGTGCTTCCAGTACAAAAGAAACTACCTCGTCTAGCATTTCCAGGCATTATGGGTAGATATTTTATATTCTTATTTCTTAACTAATTTTCTTCTAGATTCTTTTTCTTTGTAAAGTAATGATTAAATAAATTTTTAGCAATTGAAAGTGATGTAAATATGCCTTTCAGCGTTTGAGAAGCATCTATATGTAAATTCTTTAGGTTGTTATTAATATTCATCTGAAATTTCTGCTTTTCAGAGCTCAAACATTAAAAATTTGTTAGGAGATTTTGCTCTGTGCACAGAAGAGGTATACTGGTGTTAATAGGCTGTGCTCTTTTCCTTGAGACCTTTTTATGCTTCTAATATTGAGATAATATTTTTATCTAAAATTTTTTATCTTTAGGAATTTTTATCTTTAGGAGTACACAATATCTGAATCAGACATGTAAATCCTTTTGTTACTAAGAAGATTTTTAACTCAGGATTTCTATCAGTAGCAGACTTCTCTAATATTTTATTTAACCTAATTCTTCAGAATGATGCCTTTCCCAAAGCATGACGTATCAGGAATGAAAAATTAGTTTCCTTGGGGTCAGAGCTATGAGCTTGCAAGTTTTATAATTCCCTTAGTTTAATTTTTGTTAACACTTCAAAAACTGCTGTGTAAATTGTACAAAATTCAGAGTATTAAAAAGCTTAAAATGTAACTCATTTTTTAATGGATTGTGAATAATTGAACTGTGTTTGGCCTTTCACCAAGCATTGTGCTAAACTTTCCACATACATTGCCTTTTTAAATTCTTAAAACAGGCTTTTGAGTCGTAGATCTGTTATTCCCATTTTAAAGATAAAGAAACTGAAACTAACAGGTTTTAAGAAACAAGCATGGTCATTAACAAGCATAACAGAACTGGGATGTTGAGTCAGGCAGTATGATTATAAAGTCTTTGAATTTAACTTAGGCTGTATTCTCCCTTGTTAAAAGATTATAAAATCATTGAATTCCTGAGCTGAAAAGGACCTCAAAAATTATCTAGTTCAACCTCTTCACTTAATCTCTTCACAGAAGAGAATACAGAGGATAAGAGATTTGAATTTGGCCAGTATCACAGAGGTAGATTCAAGGTACCCTGATTTCTACTTTGTGCTTATTCCAGTTCATTACATTAGTTCACTATGCCTAGAACTGGTAATAAGAGAACATTTATTCTAGTTTTACCATCTGTTTAAGCCCATGGAACAATGTTGTATATATAGGAGGTACTTATTAAGTATTTGCTGCATTGAATGAGTGAATGAACTTTCTTCTTTTTAATCATAAGACTGTTGACAATATCTGACTAATGAATAGGGCCTCTTCTTGGTAAGAATTTGTCTCATTGGCCTCGTAATTAAAAACTTCCTCTGATTCTTTTAAGCTTAATAATACATTGTTAAGGAAGAAAAGCTCTTCAAAGGTCAGCCCCAAGAAGGTGATGGAGTCTAATGAAGGCGAGTGATAATCCATTTATAAAAATAGCATGTATTGTTTTGGTTTGGCTGATGTTTATGTCACCAACGGTATATACTTAGAGTAGTGTGATAGAAAAAAAATCTGAGAACACATTGTTTGGGCGAAGGATGCCTTATAAACTCAGTAGACAATTATGGCCTTTTTTTGGTTGTTGTTGTTCCGTAGATTATCTGACTCCAGAAAAAGAACTCGTACAGGAAGATCTTGGCCTGCTGCAATACCACATTTACGGAGAAGAAGGGGTCGTCTTCCAAGAAGAGCACTCCAGACTCAGAACTCAGAAATTGTAAAAGATGATGAAGGCAAAGAAGATTACCAATTTGATGAACTCAACACAGAGATTTTGAATAACTTAGCAGATCAGGAGTTGCAACTCAATCATCTAAAAAACTCCATTACCAGTTATTTTGGTGCTGCAGGTAGAATAGCATGTGGTGAAAAATACCGAGTACTGGCTCGTCGGGTGACACTTGATGGAAAGGTGCAGTATCTTGTGGAATGGGAAGGAGCAACTGCATCCTGACTGTAGGACTGAACATTATGTTCACTGCACTCTCATTCTCTGTAGGTACAGTTCAAAGTCCTAAAGGAGTCTGGCTTTTCCTATCTTTCTTAAAAAAAAAAAAAAAAGTCAAAAAAATTCACAAAAGGAGATGATACTAGCCTTAACATGTACCTGTCAATGTTATGGATATTGTCATAAAAAAGATATCTTTTAAAAATCAGAACAGAGACTTAATTTTTTAAATCTTAAGATTTGTAGAATGTTTCTAGGATAGGATATTAAAAATGATTCAAATCCATGCATGGTGTTAGATAATTTTTCTAATTATTCCATTGAGTCAGTTTTTGTGATTAGTGGTTATCAGATCAAACAGATCATGTAGATAGATAGCACAAGTATATGGAGAAACGTTGTCTGTTTTGTTACCAAAATGTTGGAAAAAATTTATTTCAATACCTTTCAGATTTCATAAAGTGCAGTGTATATAATGCCTACTAAAAGACTGTAAAATATTGAAATTTTCTTTCACGCAAAGTGTAAAAAATATATTGAGCCTGTAAATTGCTCTGTGACTAGACTTCATTGTCGTCTTAATATATTCTTTGCATGTGCATATATGTACACATGTGTGTATATATATGTGTGTGATTATGTGACCTATGCAATACAAATTATGGGAATGGGCAGCTTTGGAGTATATATCCCATAATTCTTTTTTCAGGAATAGTTGCAGTATTTACACAGCAGCATTTCTTCTCAGGCTTTTATTGGGTGCTGTTGCTTGCTATGTATGAAGAGAAATGTGTCAAACAAGTTTAAAGTTTAGTGTGTTCTGAAGAAGGGTGTGAACAACAGTGTTCATGGGCTTTTAGAATGCTTTTCACTTTCAGTCCTTGTAACTCAGCTGTTCAGTACCTAAAACCAATTCAAATAATATGAACATTATCTCCTACTAGAAGTAACATTTTCAAGTTTTCATGGCACATTATGATTGTAAATGTCTCTCAGTTTTAACAGTAAGTCTATAGGAGTCCCGTGAAGATTCCTGAAATGTCTGTAGTAACTGTTAGTCATGTTGAATAAGTGTAGTATGAACAAAGTATTTTATTGCACAGGGTTAACAAACAGTATGTTGCCTGACAAGGCTACTGCTGTTTTATTACAACATTACCTCTTGTTTTTATAAAATGTACCAAGATTTAAATTGATAACTTTATTTTACATGTAAAAAAACAGTTTCTTTTATCACCAGTGTTAGAGTTGTCTTCTGTTTCTTTTTGTTTTGTTTTGTTTGTTTGTTTTCTTTTTTAGCCAAAGAGTAAACAGAAGAATATTCTTATTTTGGTGGCTGTTCATTTTACTCTTAAAAGTGATTGGTGGATTTTAGCCTAAAAATTGGGGAATTTGCCGCCAAAATGAAAAATATGTAAAGTGTAGTGGTTACAGAGCGGTAAAAATGTGGGTTAGTACTTATTTATTCCATTGATTGATTATTTGACTGTTTATAAAGAAAGTTGCTTTATTTCTTTAAACATCTTCAAAAGATGACCTTTTCTTGTCACATTATAGCCAAAAGAAGCAGAGAACTTCGTTGTCCTGCATTTGGTTCCTGGTTGGCCAGGTATAAATGAGCTTTACAAAAGTGCAAATTAAAAACTGTCACTTCTGTTTACCTCCACCAAAACTTGATTTTCCCCTAGCTATTAATTTAAAGTTGCCTTTCCTGCAGCTGCAATATTTTGAATAACACACAGAGTTTGTGTTGATTTTGAATGTTTGTTTATATCTAGGGGTAATGGAAAATGTAAATCCCGTGTAACCTTATTCACTCCACCTGTATCATATTATTTCATTTTCCCCAAAGTCCTTTAATTCTAACTGAACACCAGCAGTATTTTTAGTAACTCTTTCTTTAGTATACATGGAAGATGATTTATTAAGCTGAACTGTCTTTAGACGTAATTATTGTGAATGTCTGTTTTATTTTATCATGGTGGTTCACATGGCTCTGATGTTCAGTTTGTATTTTTGGAATTGCTTTACTTAGAATTAAAACAGACCAACATTAAATGTGTGTATTTTTTAAAGAGCTAATGAGTTTTGCTTCTGTATTTGCTTGAAAATACACACTGATGCAGTAGATGACTGCTTTTATTTAGCCAGGGAGCTAAGGATTGTTCCACTTCCACTGTAAATATGTTCACTTGAATTAATCTTTATGAAACTTGGCTTTCATTTTCCTCTTGTCCCTCAAATAATAATTATTGCATGTTCATCCAAAAGGATCCTTTAAAAAATAAACTGTTTAGCCAGCTCGTATACTTCCTACTTGAAAGACAATATATCTCCCTCTATCTGCCTTGTCCTTAAAATTCAAGAAAATTCAGACTTTTCAACTATGTTTTCCCCCCTTATATAGAAGGTGTTATGGTTCACATCAAAGGATTCTTTTTTTTCCTAAAAAGCTTTGCTCCTAGGCTATAGCGATAAAAGATATAAATACAGTATGCCTTACTCATTTTAATTACATTTTTATTCAAAACAAATACATTTTTATAAATACTCTGATAATAAATGATAAGTATGGATTTTAATATGATCTAACTAGATCATAATATGAGCTTATCAGAGTTATTCTATAAATTCTAATGTAGTCAGATGTTGCTAGTCATATTTTGTTACTAAATGTTTAACAAGTGAATGTTAACTGATGTGTGAGTTGAGGGTCTCTCTTATATTTTGCAAGTTATGTCAAACTGTACATGTTTAGTTTCTATTGTGTATATATTCAGAAGATTTCTGTTCTCAGTGTTGGGTGGGGGTAGAACTAATTCTTTTGGGCCATTAGGTTTTGGTTGGAGCATGATCTGACTTGCATAGTTATAGCAGACTGTTGCATAATGTTCTAGAGTTGTTTGAGTGAGGATGTGATGGCAAAGCAAGATGTCCATGCAGCTTTGGGAGATAGTTTAAAAATGCCCTTTAATGTGGGGAAGATTTCCTGTTTAAATTATATTTGAGTACTTCTGTGAATATACACTCCCAAAAGTCTCCTTTGGTTTTTTCTGTGGTAGTTGATCAGTCATCTTCTTTCCTCAAGAAAATAAAAACTTGACAGTAAAATGTAAAGTGAGAATTTTATCTAATCGTGGATTCTTTTCTAATTACTAGCAGTTAAGAAACCACATGTCAGACTTAAAAAAAATTTAGAGCTGGGAGAAGCTATGAAAGCAAACTGATTGGGTCTCTGAATAACAAATAGATTGGGAATAAGTACAGTATTTGTAATTCTTAAGTTATATCAAAATGTCTTGGGGTAGTAGCTAGATCAAAATATTATACTGTCTGTATATTTAAAGTTAGAATAAGGTTGCAAATTAACTAGCTCACTTTATTTTTCTCCCCTTCCCTTACTTCTACCCAACAAAATCCCTTATAGCTTACTCCTCTGGCATTTTCTCTGTTGGAGATAATGAGTATTGAAATTGGATGCTTAGTAATAATTCCTCACTTTTGCAACATCTTCAAGGAATGTGATGTCTCATTCAAGAAAATTCTACTGGATTTAAGCAAACAAATGAACCAAATCTTCATAAATGATAAGATGTATTTATTGGATAAAACAAAAATATATCCTGTTCAAAATCATTAGTCTAACTTTTGTTCCTTGTATTTACCAAAAGGTATTCAGTTTTTTCTTTTTCTTTCCATGCTTTCACAAGTGAAGGTGATACAGTCTCAAAACTAACATGAATTGGTTAATGGGAGGCAAACGAAATTTTAGGTCATGGTTTGTGGCCCTTCAGAACTCAACTCTACCCACAAAAGTCTTATTCCTTAAGTATTTAATTACTTTCATTGAGTTTTCTTACGTATCACAGGAGTAACACTGACAGTGAGTTCATGTAACACATGAAAAATATCTGCTAGGTTGGTACTACAAAACTGGCAAATGACTGTGTTGGAGGGCTTTGTTTACTCTTGAAGTTACAGTGTGAGAGGTAGTGTACACCTGCCTGTTAGCTTCCACTGCCTCCCTTGTGGATGTGTATGTTTGATCCTTAGTGCTTTTGTGTGTGGCCTAGGTTTGGGAAATTAAGTAAGGCTAGTTTACATTTGATTGATTTCTACCAAGTTTAGTCAACCCATCATTAATTATGTCAAGTGCTGAAAAAAAATGTTGACGATATCTGAATGAATATCTAGCAGCTAATCAAAAGTAAGTTTTTCATATCAAGCAGAAGTTAACAGTAAGCTCACCAAAAACCGTTCTTTTAAGAAATCAAGTTTTCACATGTTTTATTTTTGCCAGAGAAATCTTTTTGAATGTCTTTTTAAAATTTGATTACTGTTACAATGTTTTCTATAAGTTAATTTGCATATGTGACTTAAGGTACATAAGAATTTATGTAAGTAGATTACATTAAAAGTTACTCAGTGAGGTTGCAAATTTAAGTTAAATGTTAATACCATCTAGTATAAATGAATATATACTTAGTGAAGGATTATAATTAATGTTGTTTTGACTGATAATTGATCTCTTATATATTATAACTAATGCTATTAGTGGAATGTAAGGAAATTTCTATACAGGATTTCCTAGAATGCAGAATTAGTGGAATGTAAAGAAATTTTGCCTATATAGAATTTGAGACAAAAACAAGATTTTCTGAGAATTTGGGTCTCTTTTACAAATATATAAAGCTTGCTTAGATGGCTCTGAAGTTAAACTTTTCCTTGAGGAGAAATGGGAGTTCAAGGAGATGAAGCTTATTGGAGAGGGTTTTGGAAGGGAAAGCCTATTAGCTCATACAAGATTTGTGGAGGCATAGTTTGGTTCCTGTATTCCTTTGTCACCAAATCTTTTCCAGAATGCAAGAGCAAATCTATAACAAGTCCATATTTTTTATATTATAATTTTGCATAACCTAGTGTCTTAGTCTTTCTGTGTTATTATTTATCTTTGGATGTAAATTTTCCAGTGAAGAATTATGTCATTAGAAATTCATTCTTGATACCTCTTTATAAACTGTAGTTTATAAGCAACTTTTAAACCATTAAATGAGACCAGAAGTATTTAAAATGCTACTTTATTAAA